GCCGGCTGGTAGTCAAGTTTCCCAAACTCTTCTCCATGGTTTTCTCCACATTGTGCTGCTGCAATTGCCAATCGAAACCGTTACTTCTATATCTATCAGCAAAACGATTCTCCAGAAAACAGATGTTTTATTATTGTTAGAAACCATTGTAAAAAGGTTTTGTCTAACGTCAAAACCTCAGGTCATGAAATCTCTTATTTCATCACAAAAATTAGGCTCTAGTGACTTTTGGAGAAACTTTAATTGTATCAATAATAACAACAAATTTGTAATTCCACCTCTTTTGTATAGTTCAGATTTTGTCACCTTACCTAAAGACAAAGCTGAATTGTTTGCTAAGAACTTTTATATCATCTCTTGATTCCACTAGTTGCATTCTACCTGATTTAGCTGTCAAACTGGTTGATCCCTTGCTTGACATTTGTATCAGTCCAGCTTCTGTACCTAAAGTGATTTCCCACTTATACTCTTCTTCAGCCTGTAGCCCTGACAACATACTTGTTATAGTCTTGCAGATGCGTTCTCCAAAGCTGTCGTTTATACTTTCAAAACTATTCAACAAGTACTTATCAAAGTGTTATTTTCCAGCCTGCTGGAAAGTGGCATCTGTTACCCCTATTTTCTAAAATTCTAGAGAGCAATCTGATTTGTCTAGCTACCGTCCCATTAGTCTTCTTCCTATCATAAGCAAGATTTTTGAATCTTTAATTAACAAACGCTTAATCTCTTACCTTGAATCTAATAAATTACTTTCTAATCATCAATATGGATTTCAATCTTCTTGTTCTACAGCTGATTTGCTAACAGTAATAATTAATAGGTTTTATTGTGCATTAGATAAAGGTTAAGAGTTGAAGGCTATCGCTCTTGATGTTTCTAAAGCGTTTGATAAAGTTTGGCATACTGGTTTTCTCCATAAGCTTTCTTCTTATGGTGTATCTGGTAACATCTTTAAGATTATTGAATACTTCCTTTCCAATCGTAGTATAAATATTATCCTCGATGGTCAGCACTCTTCTTCTTATTCTGTAACTTCAGGGGTGTCTCAAGGTTCAATTGTTGGCCCTATACTATTTTTAATTTACATTAACGATCTTCCAGATATTCTCACATCTAAGGTAGCATTGTTCACTGATAATACTACCATTTATTTTTGTCTTGATAAGAAGCCAACACTCTCTGATTGTTTGGCATCTGAGCTTGAAAAGGATCTCAATTCTGCTACAGCATGGGGCTCACAGTGGCTGGTGAACTTTAATTCAGATAAAACTCAATTTTTTTCAGCCAATCGTTATCACACTAATTTAGGTTTTTCTATATTTATGAACAGTAATTTACTTGATGAGCCATCTACCCTTCATCTTCTCGGATTAACTCTTACTTCCGATCTTTCTTGGAAACCATATATTGAATCCGCTGCAAAATTAGTATCTGCTAAGATAAGATCTCTTTATCTAGATTGATACTTTTTTACTTTGGATTCTCTATCTCTATAAATCTCAAATCCGGCCTTGTATTGAATACTGTTGCCATATCTGGGGGGGATCTTCTAATGATGCCCTTTCTATTTTAGACAAAAGTAAAAAACATAATAAGTTATTTCAACAAACTTTTAAAAGTTTTCCTTTTTATTAAAATGTTTACAAATTTAATGCTAAAAAAAGCTTCACATATATAATTACATTCACGTTGCAATAACAATATCTCTCCATCAAGCTTTATTAACAAATTTGAAAAAAAGAAGATTATCATTTAAGAGCAAACATGATGAACATATATAAACTGCCTTGGATAATTAATAACTATTCGGAATAAAACATTTCATATCGAGGGTTATGGACCGTCAAGTCTAAGATATCGAATACCTTTCAAAAAGGATTATATCTTATATATATATATATATATATATATATACATATATATATATATATATATATATATATATATATATATATATATATATATATATATATATATATATATATATATATATATATATATATATATATATATATATATATGTATATATTATTATATACATATATATATATTATATATATATGTACATATTATATATATATGTATACATATATATATATAATATGTACATATTATATATATATATATGTATATATATATATATATACATATATATATATATATATATATATATATATACATATATATATATATATATATATATATATATATATATATATATATATATATATATATATATATATATATATATATATATATATAAATTATATATGTATATATATATATATATATATATATATATATATATATATATATATATATATATATATATATATATATATATATATATGTATATATATATATATATATATATATATAAATTATATATGTATATATATATATATATAAATATATATATATATATAAATATATATATATATATAAATATATATATATATATATACATATATATATATATATATATATATATATATATATATATATATATATATATGTATATATATATATATATATATATATATATATATATATATATATATATATATATATATATATATATATATATATATGTATATATATATATATATATATATATATATATATATATATATATATATATATATATATATATATATACATATAATAAATTTTTAGACAATTTACACAGCAACAATATTGAGATGAGATTGATGTTAAAAAGAGTATGGCCGAATATTACGAAAAAAACCTTGGATCGTGTTATACCAAAACGTAATCAAGGTAGCTTTCATTAATGTATTTTTTATTTAGTTTTATCTAACTCTTTGATAACAACTTCAAATAGTCTAATCTTTGAAAAACAGTCATTAAAAAGTATGCTATTTCAAAAACAGCTTATTAACTTTTTTTAAATTTAGCATTTAGAATTTGTTTCAAATTCTATTTAATTCTATTTCAAAAGTTATTTAATTTTCACAGTTTACTACTCTGTTAAAAATTAAATATGATATTAATTTAATATCTAATGATTGCATAAAGCGTGAAACTCTGTGCTACATTTCAAATTTAGTTGTAATTATTTAATTATATATATATATATATATATATATATATATATATATATATATATATATATATATATATATATATATATATATATATATATATATATATATATATATATATATATATATATATATATATATATATATATATATACCATTTATATATTTCACTTCTAACAAGACTGCAAGCAACCAATATTAGAGTTGGAAGAGAAAAGATAAAGTTTATAAAGAAAGATAACGATTAACAGATGACTTAAAAGATAGCAGTTTATATGAATCAGGAAAATAAGATAAAGGTAGTCAATTTCAAAGAACTGATGTTCAAGAAAAAAAACTAGATAAATTAGAATTTTAGGAGTACTTGGGAACAGTCACAGTAAAACGATAAGACTAGATTGAATGACAAATAACACAATAATGAATTTTAGTATATGGCACAAGAGACGCTAGTTCTTTAGAGCAATGCCCATCATATTATTTACAGAAAAGAGAAAGCAACATTATGATTATGTGACAATGGTTAAAGGCTACAAGAGTAGGTCCAACTTTGTTTTTTACAATGTGTTTTTACACCTTGTCTAAAAGAGAAAGGGCATCATTCGAAGATCCAGTTCAGATATGGTAACAGTACTCCATATAAGGACGGGTTTGAGATTTATTGAGATAAAGAATAGAATTCGGAGTAAGAAAGTTGCAAGCACAATAAAGAAATGCAATCTTAACAGATGCTAATTTTGCATTGGATTAGATTTATGGTTTCCAAAAATGATTGGATGAGTCAATCCTTGTATGAGTTAATCTGAAAAGTAGAAGACTGAGTACACTATGGTTAATAAATATAGGATTGAGTACGGTTAATATAGGATTTTTATGATAATGATTAGCTGAAAAAAATTGAGTTTTAATTAAGGTTCACCAGCCACTGTGAGCCCCATGCTATAGCAGAAGTGAGATCCTTTTCAAACTCAAATGCTCCCTCTAAGCAATCATAGAGTATTGGCTTCTTATCAAGACTAGAATAAATGGTAGTATCATCAGTGAACAATTCCATCTTAGATGTAAGAACTTCTATGAGATCATTAATGTGAATTAAAAAATATATAGAGCCAAAGATAGAACCTTGAGGAACCCTTGAAGTTACAGGAAATAAAGAAGAGTTCTGTTCATCAAGGACAACTTTTATACAATAATTGGTAAAGAAAGATTCAATAATCTTGAAGGTGTTACCTGATATACAGTAAGATGAGAGCTTATAGAGAAGGCCAGCATGCTAAACTTTATCAAAAACTTTTAAAATTTCAAAAGCAATAGTTTTAACTCCACACCTATTTAATATACAATAAAACCTATCAGTTAACATATCTGTAACAAATATGTTACTGTTAACAAATTAGTAGTAGAATAAGAAGATCAAAATCCATATTGATGATCAGAAAGTTATTAGATGACAGGTTAAGTATTTGTTAAATAAGGACTCAAAAATCTTGCTTATGATAGTAAGAAAACTAATGGGACAGTAGTTAAACGAGTTATTTACTGATAAATATGAAATTTGAAATTTACTGATAAATATAAATTTATTAAATAGAAGTACACAAAATATTTTATCAACTAGTTGCTATCACATTTGGGGCAGTTTTTGCAAATATTTTAAAACTACATATGGAGTTTAAAATTAAACTCCATACCTAATTGCCATTTGATGACATTTGATGGCATTAATCCAACTTTATTCTTAATATAATTTTTATTTTGCTTCTGGTCTAAATTTTTAGTTTAGTTCTGGTTTTTCATGTTTAGGTTACATCTGTGTGTAATATAGTGATCTTTATTTTTATTTACATCTATAAACATAGGCAGTATTTTGTGGCTCAGAGCAAAAAAGTTGTAACTGACAAAGAGGCCCAAAATGTGTTTTGTGTATATTGTATGTAGACTTTGGGGTAATACCTGGATTTGGTTGAATCTTTCCAAACTTTTACTCCAGGTTCCACATACACATGTGTAAATTGTTGCAATTACAAAAAAAGACTTTTTTTTTTTTTGTGCAAAAATGTTGCAACTGATGACATAAATATAACCCTAATTAGTTTTTTCGTAGTTATTTGTGCATGATATAATTTATATATTATATTAATATTATATTACATAATTATATTAGTATTATACACAAGTGTAATATTGTATGTTATACATTTTATTTTGTACAGCCCTTGGAATTAGGAAAAAAAAGGTCAGAAAGATTTTGTCAACCTTAATCTGTTAAAGGTTGGCATCAGGTTGGCAAAAAATATTTGATAAAAAGGTTTTACATAAAACATAAAAACAAGATCAGCAGTTTTTTTGCCGATCTCAAACACTTCTAGGTCTGCAATGCTGATCCTAATTCCAAGGGCTGTATATATAACATAATTAAGCATAAATATTTAAAAATAAGTAATTGAACTTATCTTCATCATTTTTGATGATAATTCAAGAAGTGTAAATGAACACAGAATCAAGCTCACAATAGTTGTAAAAATGTGCTCAGTTGCTGTATAACTTAAGTTGTGGTGGAATGGTGATAAATTGTAACAACAGAAAATACACGCAATAAGCTGAACTTTAGTAAAAATATTAGCAATTGGTAATTGAAGGTGTAAGTTAATTGGAAGTGTAAAGTTTAAATTATGTTATGCATACATACATAAAAGGACTAGAAAAGAAATCATTCTTATTAAGAGTGCTAGAGGCGTTAGAATGTAAAATTTAGAATCAAGTTATTTTCAAATAATGTCAACAATGGTCAATAACAAATAAGAAAACAAGAAAAAGGAAAAATACATGTTTAGCAGATGAATGTGGCAAAAATGATGGTCAATATAAGACAAGATCAGACTTTGAAAGACAATTGTAGTCGTTGTTGCCAAAAATGTCAGAAAAAAATTGCACCGGGTATTAGACAGAGAATTTTAAATAGTTTCCTAGGATAAGACATATTGTTGCAATTTTGTCACCTCAAACATGACAGCTTTTCCCAAAGGAAGAGTTGCCATTAAAAACATAGTTTATGGTCCTGTTTTAAAAAATACTTTCTGCAGACCAGTTTAAAAGAGAAATGTAGGCAAAATTCAAAACAACACAATGATTCGTTGACAAAGACCCTGCAAACAAAACTTTACTTGCAAGCTTGGCCTAAGTGAAACTTCATATCAAATTGTTTTTAAAAATTGATTACCAGACTACATGGCAGACCACTTAACTTCTCAATATTGAGTTGATCAGACTTTTGTATGAGTGATATCATTCTTATGAACTTTATTATTATTATGAATAATACTATGCTTATAACTGTTGTTGTATTTTTTATTATTATTAATATTTTTTTTACTCAAGTCTTTTAGCAGGTTTCCTGTGAAATAAAAATCAATCTGTGGGCAATTAATAAACATTGATAACTATTTTTGTGACAAATATCAGAATATTTTGGATTTACATTGATTTATGCAAAACATCTCTACTTTTAAACCGTGTTTTTTCTTTTTCCCAAAAATGCTATTTTCAACCTTTTTGCTCTTAGGTCACAATATCATAATCCACTATATGTAAACATTAGCATAGACACAATTTCATAATATAAACAGTAAAGTTATTTATGCTTAACTAAGTTTTTGTTTTATGTATAAAAAGAATTTCATTATTTCATCTTGTAACTCTCCTTTTTTGAGAACAAAGCGATTTTGTTTCCTTATATTTTACTGTAATCCTTTGAAATACTGTAATCTTTTAAGCAGCCGTTTTGCGACATCGGTTGGGAAGAAGGCGTGAACTTCCTATTAAATGCTCTTCCGCAGTGCTTTGTGATAAGACCGTACGGACTTCTTGGGGCACCTTAATCAACTTAAAAAATAAAAAAAATAAATATTTTTTTGAATTTTGTTATTTTTCCATTCCTGTAAATTTTAAAAAATTTGAAGAATATACAGATGAAATAAAAGATTTTTTTTTTTTATATGACAATGACACATGGGTCAAAAAATCATGGATCTAAGTAATATTAATGTTTTAGTAATATGATGCAGTGATACATTCCAGCAATTTTTTCTAGTAATATGTTATAGTAATTTGTTTCATTAGCATATTTTATTATTTTGTTTATGTTATTTCTTCTATTAATTTATTTCAATTTGTATTATGTTGCAGTTATTTGTTTGATTAACTTGTTGTTTCAGTAACATGTTCTAGTATGTTGTTACATAAAACAAACATGAAACAAATTACTAGAACATTTAATGAAACAAATTACTGCAACATATTGCAAATTACTGCATCATATTGCAACATATTGCAAATTTATTTCAGTAACATATTCTAGTAATTTGTTTCGGTAACATGCTTTAGTAGTTTGTTTCAGTAACATGCTCTAGTAGTTTGTTTCAGTAACATGTTCTAGTAATTAGTTTTAATTTGTAATATGTTGCATTATTTCACTAACTCCAGAATAATGTAAATTATCCAGTAAATTTGCTTTTGTATATTTATGATGTGATTTAGTTTTTTGGGTCAAATGTATTTTTTAACAAATTAACTTGATAACAACTAAAAAATAGATTTAAAAAAATTAAAAACTTAAAGAAAATTTATTAAAATGTCAGAATCAGAACCACCCTTGAAATCTTTAAACTGCCACATTTTTTCTTTAGACCATTTATCTCAGATTATTAAACCTTGTATTTTAACAAAGGTCTAACATTTCTCTTTTGCATGGGTCTGATCTTTTTACTTCTCTTAACGATAAGTCAGACCTATTTGAAAAAAAAATTAAATTTCATGTATTTAACCTCTTAAATCTACATTAAATGACCACTCTGGATGACAAGAAGAGTCCAATCAACTGATAAAAAAACTTAAACTGTTAGACTTTTCAATCACTTCTGGTTCTGTTTATAAAGTTTTTTTATTTAAACTCTTCTACAGCCAATATTCCTGTTTAAAAAAGTATTCATCGAAGCTCTTTTCATTAGTCACTTTAAAAAAATGGCTTTTTGGTTCAAATTTTAAAAAAATCCTTGTAATTAATACCCAGTCTTTTTATTATTACTAGCAAGCTCTTAAAGTCTTTAATTAACAAACTTTTAATTCTAGTTTCTCTTGTTCTATTGCTGATTTGTTGACTGTTATAATAACAAGGTCGTTGCATTAGATACTAGAGGTGAGGCAAAGGCTTTCTTCTATGTTATCTCTCTTCTATGTGATCTTGAACATGATCTATCTTTTGTGAAAACTCAGAGCTTGCAGTTGCAAGCTCAGGCCATGCATTTTTGACTTGAACAAAACTTTGTTACTTCTAATAGTTATTTCAATGTGGTTGGTATTCCAATATTGATGAATGGGAACACTTATACTGAGTTTTCTACTTTATGCCTTTTTTTGATTTAGAAACCATATATACAATCAAATGTAAAGCAAAGTTGTCTTTATATTTAATTTGCAACTTTTATAAACCTTTAATTTGTTCCTGTGTGGTATGCTGTTGTCATACTTAAGTTAAAGTACTATTGTCATATTTAAGGATCTTCTGATGATTTTGCTTCTCTTTTAAACCAAATCTAAAAACGTATTGTAAATATAGCTGCCCAACTTGAGCTTCTCTTTTATTGTCATAAGGTTACACCTTTTTTTTCTATTCAACAAATACATTTTTAAAATATCAAAGTTTTACTTACTATTGGGAGAAAAACTGAAGGCAAAATCTAACTGAATTATATGTTATTTTCTTATGTATTACAAGCTTTTCCTATGTTTACAATAAATAAAATAATATAAGTTACAGTAAATTAGGTTTATAATAAGTTAACAATAAATTAAATTAAAATAAATTTCCATTAGATTGTTTTATAATTTATTTGCCAATTTAATCCCCCCTAGCGACAATAACCGCAATAGATATTCTTGGCATTCTACATAACGATTTATCCAGTTTTTCAAAGTCAATTTTATACCACTCACTAATAAGTTTTTTCCACATCAACTCAAACAACTAACTTATACAATATTTAGAATATTATGTTTTGGATTAAGGCTTTGGGTTGTTTTCTAAAAAATAAATGGCTTTCCATTAGTCCAACATTCAAAATGAAATACATAACTTTTTAAATATGTCCAAATAAACTACTTTTGTCATCATTCATTCTATTTTTATAATGTTATGTGTGGCATTTCAACCAAAATAGCCCCACACCTTAACCCTTCATTTACCATATATCACATTCAATAATACACACTGGTTTATGATACGTTCAAAGACTTTTCTTTGGAATAACAATTTTCTCTTGAAAACATAGATTTAAAACTTTGACAGGTCAGTCCACATTTACAGTATTGATAATCCCTTTTTTATGTAGTTTTTTATGTAGTTTTTTATGTAGTTTCCGTTTTTTATTTTTTGCTTACTTAAGAATTTTTATGATTTTAATCAAAATACTTATATGATTATAAAAATAACTAATAATGTAAAAAAAAATTATTAAATTAAAACATTTTTTTAAAAAGTTTATGTTACTTAAATAATTATGTGCAGTTGTGTAAGTCTTTAGTAGAAAATAAAATGTATTTAGTGGGCTATTAATTTTGAACAGAAGGAGTTCGTGCATTTTAGTCATCATTTTCAGAGACTTGTGCCACAGTGAATTGTTATCACTAAGGTGGTTAATGATACATCAACACAAAACATTTAAAATGATATTTTGAAAACATCAAACTTTAAACTTATAAATTTATGGTACGACTCATGAAATTTCAGTTATTGTTTGAAGGTAGACATTAAATTTTTACAAGGACATATTTTTACTTCATATGCGGATAAATGTATTATAGAAAGTTAAATAACTCTATTAAATTTAAGTTAAAATTTACCAACAACTGTGACTCTAAATTTTTTTATAGACAAAAAATTACTTTAATTGTATTTATTTAAAGTGAAAGTATTTAAAAGAGTTTTCTGTCAAAAATTGCACAAAAGTAACACAACTATTTTAAAGAATTTTTGATTCACTATGTGTTTGTAGTAATAAGTATATAATATATGATAGTAATAGCCAGTAATAAGATAATTTCAATTTTTAAATTTTGAAAAATTGGAAGCATCAATGTAGGAAGCAATTTTGCTATACTCCTATAACTATACATAACAAAATCCTTAAATTATTTTTTCAATTTCAACTGTTTCCTGGCATAATCCGTTAATTTTTTTTTTCTATTGCACATTTATTATTATATTTTACTTGTTGTGAAACTGTTGTATTTGTTTTACTGTTGGATAATTTTTTACAGGTGCCAGTCAAATGACTGTAGGTAAAATCTATTGTGCTAAACTTATTTATGAAAATTACAAACATTTGAGATTATCTTCTAAACAAAACAAGAACGTAAGTTATATTTGCTTTCACAAAAATGTCTTATCTATTTCCAGATTTTATGAGTAAATTCATATTTTTATGCATGAATTAATAATTTTATGAGTAAATTCATATTTTTATGCATGAATTAATAATTTTATGAGTAAATTCATGTTTTTATGCATGAATTAATAAATTTTTGAGTAAATTCATGTTTTTATGAATTAATAAATTTTATGAGTGTAATAATACTTTAATTATTAAATTTTATGAGTTAAATTTTTTATAAAAGTAATAGATCTAAAAATTAAAAGTTGAAAAAAAAATTTTAATTGTTTTTTTAGAACTTGTGTGCTGTAAATAATTTGACTGAAGAGTCTCTTGATATTTCAAATATTCAGATGAATAAATCTCTTCAAATAAATGATGTAAAACTTTTATTTTTTTACTATAAAATTTACTATAAAAACTTTTTTATCTTTAACTTTTTACATTCAACTGTTGAATTACTTTGTCAATATAGGTGGTGTCTGTAGAAATGTGTAGAAATCTGCATAATTCCAACTTGCATATTTTTGTGTTTTTGCATAAATAGTATGAGTAATTACAGTGAATAGTAATTTTATTTATTTCTTGCTATTATACATTTTATTACTATTTATACCTTGCTTAACATTTTATAATTATTTATTTCTTGCTTAAAATTTTGTTACAAAAGAACATGAAAAATAAAAAAATTAAAAAAAAACAATTTTAGAAAAATAAATTTTGATGTTGGATTCAGGTATAAAATTATGACTAAATTATAAAAAAGTTTAAAATATAAAAGCACACAATCAGCATACAAACAGTTCTTTGTTCTTAATAATACTTGAGTTTTTTATAAGACTTGAGTTCTTTGTCTGCAACGTAAATTTATAAAAGTTCTTCAGAAAATTTTTAAAAATTTTATACATATACAGTAAACAATCCATTTTTTTTATTTAGCAACTCTCTGTTTGTTGTTTGAAACTCTAGTCTGTTTATTGTTTGAAACTTCTTTGACTATAAATATATGTAATAACATGAAGTGAAAACAATGGAAAACTCAAGATATGTATAACAAGTTGTTTTTTATCTCTTTTCTAATATCTAAAGTAGAAGGAATATGGGCAAACTTTATGGATGTTATTATGAAAAAATCAGTTTTGGCATTAGTTAAAGTTTTTAAATATTAACTTTAATTTGTTTAAAGTTTTATACATATTCCAAGCTAAACTCCATTAGTAGCAAGCAAGTAAGTAAGTTTATAATAAAATGAATAGTTGAAAGAAAAAAACCTCTTCATGTAGCCCTAAGTCTTAGAGTTTATTTATTTTTACACCACTCAAGGATTTTAATAAACAACCTCAAAATTTTATCATCTAATGTTAAAATATTTTAACTTTGTCTTGAATTGACTTTTTTTTTTAATAATTTTTGCCCTTGCATCGGAAAGCTATGTGCCATTACTTTTTTGAGTTAATGAAGGTAACATATAAACTTGAACCATATATTTCACTAGGATGAGTTAAATCTTAAACAGCCAAATTAACCTCATAAGATAAAGTTAGAGAGTCTAAACAAAAAGAGAAATGTTTAGAATACCAAATATTGACAGCTGATGCTATGTTTGAGTTTTGTATTTCCAGTATAAACACAATCAAATTTTATAAAATTACCGAAAAGTAACAACATTAAGTCAACAACAACTAAAGAAATAACTGGTATTGACCAAAACTGTTCCATGAACCAGAAGTTACCATCTTTTTTTCTTATAATTTTTCTAAATTCATGTTTGAAATTGTTTGACATGTTTTATCATATTTTATGCTTTAGTGTTTTATTTGCTTTTAATTATTTTAAGTTGTATTATTTGGATTTCTAACCCAAAAATATGTAAATGTATATAACTTCTATTGCAAGTAGGACAGAGACAAGGGTTGTAACCATTTTTAAAAATTGCAGAAATATATCAGTTTGAGAAAAGGTTAAATTTTTATTTGAAACCAGAATTAGATTATTAAATTTATTGCATAATGTAAGTTGAACTTGAACTTTGGGTTGCATAGTCTGACAAAAAGATTGTTACAAAAAGTGTTACAATATTTTTAAAATGTCTCAAAAAGTTAAAATTAAAATTTATTAATAAGCGTTTCCTGATATATTGTTGGCCTATTTATGATATTTATAGTATAAATTGTTATGATTGTTTATTGGATAATGTTTGCTAGAAGTTAAAACCATTTTTGCTGTTCCATTCCAGCTGTTGGGAAAATAACTTAAAAGTCTTATAAAGCTGTAGTATTAAAAGAGAACAAAAGTAAACAATTAGATAAAAGAAAACAAGGTAATAAAAGAGAACAAGGTAGTAAAAAAGAACAAGGTAATAAAAGAGAACAAGGTAATTAAAGGGAACAAGGTAATAAAAAAGATCTAGGTAATAAAAAAGAACAAGATAATAAAGGAGAACAAGGTAATAAAGGAGAACAATATAATTAAAGAGAACAATGTAATAAAAGAGAACAATGTAATAAAAGGGAACAAGGTAATAAAAGAGAACAAAGTAGTATAAGAGAACAAAAAAGAACAATATAATAAAAGAGATCAAGGTAATAAAAGAGAACAATCTAATAAAAGAGAACAAGATAATAAAAGAGAACAAAGTAATAAAAGATAACAAAAGAGAACAATATAATAAATAAGAACAAGATAATAAAAGAGATCAAGATAATAAAAGAGAACAATGTAATAAAAGAGAACAAAAGAGAACAATATAATAAAAAAGAACAAGATAATAAAAGAGATCAAGATAATAAAAGAGAACAATGTAATAAAAAAGAACAAGGTAATAAAAGATAACAAAAGAGAACAATATAATAAAAGAGAACAAGATAATAAAAGAGATCAAGATAATAAAAGAGAACAATGTAATAAAAGAGAACAAGGTAATAAAAGAGAACAAAAGAAAACAAGATAGTAAAAGAGAACAAGGTAGAAAAAAAAAGAACAAGGTAATAAAAGAGAACAATGTAATAAAAAAGAACAAGGTAACAAAAGAGAACAATATAATAGAAGTTTTTGAAATTTATGTTGTGATGATAAAAAGCATCAACTAGAGTACATTATTGTTATTTAATATTGCAACAGGCAATTGCTATGAATAAAGTATTTATTGAATTAGAAGAGCAGTTAATAAATGACTTGATGAAAGCAATATAATTCAATTTTTTCATAATATATTTCAATTTTTTCTTTTTGTTATACTAAACATTTACTAAAAAATCCTTAACAACTAATTACTATAGTTGTTAAGGAACTTTTTTTTAACTCCAACACTCTGTTAATTTAACAGAGATTTTAAAAATGGCTCCATGTTGTTAAATAAAGATTTTCAAAATAGTAAAAAGGAGAAATAATACAATGTGTTAAAGATTGTTTTTCATTTTAAACGGAGATGTTGCTGTATTTGTTACAATTTTTTTAACGAAAGCAACAGAACTTGCTTGATAAAAAAATAGATTGCTTAAAAAATCTGTACAGTGTGTCATACAAAATCATATCTTGTGAAGGTATTATCAATAAAAATAAATTATTCTAAATGCTGAAGACCACTACAAAATCTTGGTTACACTTTTGAACTCATCTGAAAATAAACACATCTGAAAAGAGTCACAAAAGATAGTGATGGTACTTTGAAGTCTGATTTAAAAAAAATAATAGGCACTAGCCGACTATGTTCTTTAAAAAACCGTCTATAAGTTAAAATAAGCCTTCTATTGGGAAGGCAGAGGTTGGGTTATTAAAATAATACATTTTAATAACCCATAATACATTTTAAGGTTGGAAAAACATTGGTTGATGTACCATAATACATTTTAAGGTTGGAAAAACATTGGTTGGTGTATCATAGTACATTTTAAGGTTGGAAAAACATGTCAATGGATATATTAGGAGACAACTCTGTTAAATATGCTGGCCCCTATTATATTAAAGCCTTTACTTCCTTGTCGGTTTGCCGCTTTTTTAGCAATAAGGATTGTTTCACCATTTATTTTAAACATGTTAGCCATTGACGGATGACATACTCCAAATAACGCCAACTATTCTTGTTGCATAAACATTTCTTCTCTCCCCCAAGGTACACAGCTTTAGTTAGTCCAAAAGAGGAGCCGAATGAGTGTTCCTAGGTTTATGACAGATAATTATCTGTCACATCAGGCACACTGCTTTTGTATTATGTCAAGCCTCTTTAGTTGCGCTTTGAATTGACTAAGGTATAATATGCTGACATATTCTAATTGACTCCGTATAAGTCCTTTACACACTATATTTAAAAGTTCCCTCGCAAGCCTGACAGATGCTTTTGCTAATATTCCCATACTAGAATGGCATTTTTTAATGGTTGTATCAATTTGTTCTTTGAATTAGAGATGTTAATCTATAGCGATCCCTAATAGCTTAACATGAGTTACTGGTTGAACTTCAATATTTTCAATTTTAATGTGTAGGTTATCAGGAAGTTTTTTTCTCGGTGATTTGAAAACTAACAGTTGCGCTTTATTGGAGTTAATAGTGAAATCATAATCAACACATAACTTATTTGTATCTCCATATGCTTTGATTAATTTTTCAGTGACAGCTGTCTGCTGCTGATAAGGTAAAGTTGTCTGCAAATAAATAAGACTCGATTGTTAATGATTGTGGAAGATCTCTTACATAGATTTTGAATAGTTCAGGACTAAGGCTACCACCTAGTGGTTCGCCTCTTGATATCGGGTTCTATTAGGTAATCCTTTTTTTTTTTCACCCTCTGAGCTCTTTCTTCTAGGTAATTTTGAAATAGTTTACCAGCTTTTTGGCTTAGTCCTATTTTAGCAAGCTTAGTAGATTCTGATGTGAACATCACATCAAATGCTTTTGTCAAGTCTATTAATAGGGTGCCTACAATTTTTCCTTCATTTAACAAGCCATACCAGGAGTTAGTTTCTGTTATTAATGCAGTTTCACAGTTTGAATTCTTCCTGTATCCAAATTGCTGGATTGGTATTAATTTTTTAGCTTCACTATATTCAGATAGTTGTCTGCATATTATTTTTTCATAAACTCTCGAAAGTAATGGTAAAACTGAGATAGAGTGGTAGTTTTTTGGATTAGATTTTCTACCTTTTCCCTTTCATATTGTTCTAATATTAGCTTTTTTCCAGATTCAGGAAATACACCCTCATCTATAGATTTGTTTAGAATGTTGGTTAGATTTGTTGCTAGAGAATTGACCGATCGTTTAATTAAATAAGGTGATAGTTCATCATGCCCAGCTGATGAGTTGTTTTTTATTTGGTTTAGTACTTTCAATACGGTTTCTTTTTTCACTAACTTAAAACTAAACCTGTTGATTTGGTTACATCCGTATGGCCATGCAAGTGAAGTCCTATTTTTGCACTGAAATTAGATGGTTATTTAGATTGTTTAAATTAATTGTATATTTATCAATGGTTTGATTTTTATCTTTAGTATTGAAACACATTTTCTTAGTATACATTCAACCATCTTTGCAGTTTTTGCTTTGGAATGCCTTGCAATGTTCCTTTGTCTATTGCAAACTTCCTTATAAGGCTTTTTTAATATCATTAATTTCTTTTTCTTTTTCATCAACTCTTTATGTTTTGCTCTTTTTTCAGCTAAATAGTCTCTTCCTTTTATCATAACTTTCATTTTTTTGTCAATCCATTGAGGTCTAGTTGTTCGACATGGAAAATTTTTAACTGTCGCAAATTCTTCAATTATTATTCTGATTGCATTATTCTGAATCCTCACTCCAGCCAAGTTAAGTGAACATAATAGTGATTTACCTGGATTTACACTTGCTTTAAGGTCACCCATTACAATTAGATGGTTATTATTGGAGATTTCTTTAATTAATTCATTAAAGTTTAGCCACCATTCATTTTTTGCTTGAGGAACTCGATAGACACTTAGCAAAACGATAGGTCTTAAGCATTTTGACATGATCAACTCTAATATTATAAATTCAATGTTCAACATGAAATACTTGTCATCAAAATTTTCAATTTTTTTAAATTTGATTGATTCCTTAACAGTCAATTAGTCCTCCGCCATTACATGTTCTGATTTTCTAATAGCAACATATCCTGGAATATCTATTGCAGTTGTAGTAAAATTAGAGTCTATTTTGGTTTCTACAATATTAATTGTCATAATCTTTAACTTAAACTTAAACTTTAACATATTCTGCGTTGCCATGTAAGCAAGAAAAAAGTTATACAGGTTTTTAATTTGCTGTGCAATACCTTATTTAAATAGTTTTCATGCATTGTGCTCAAAAACATGCATTATTGAGAGTAAAACTGAACAATGTGCTTATATATTTTTTAAAAAAATCTCTTATTTATGCTTATAAAAACATTAACATGTAATATGCCAATCGTTTTTGGTCGATTAAAAAAAAAATCTGTGGTCAAATAAAAACGCAACATAATTAAATGTATTTAATTATGTTGCGTTTGATTATACGTGATTTTAAGATATGTACTACATAATTTTTTTTTTTTTGTCATGCAACATGCGTTTTACATATAGTTAAAAGTTAAAATATGATTTAATAAATATTATATTTAATGAATGATTAATGAATAAATGAACTAATGTAAGTCATATAGTTTAACTATTCATAGTATTTACGAATATGGGTAGCCTCTCTAAAAAGACACAAATAAAGAAGAAAAGAGGAAGATACAGACTAGTCGCTGAAAGCTACTGTTTTTTCTCAAGTTCCTATTAACCAGCGGCCCACGAACCAGCTCCCCGGCATTGAAAACGTACTAAGATATATACAGTTTATAAAACCACCCAGGTCTTTAAAGTTTAAATCTGATAAGTTTTTTGCTCTCAAAGGTTTCCAGGAAGAAAAACTTATTTGCAAATGCAGAATATGTAAAGATTTCAATAATAGAATAAATAATGCTTCTACATTTGAAACGTGTGAAACAAAGCTAGTTATGGAGAATTAATCATTTCTGAAACTTTTGTTAGGTTTCAAATAGTTTCATTTTTAATTGTAAATAAACTAGGGAAAAAATCAAACAATCAACATTTAGGTAATTAATTAACATCAGGACATCAACAGGTTTGATTAGAATAAGCTACAGGGTGGATAATCCTTGTACAAGATGAGGCGTTGTAGTTTGGCAAGAGGGTGTTGACCGCAGAGACATTTAACGAAGCGGACTATACAATTCTTTGTGAACTAGTTGTCTTTTATTTAGGAGTATCAGGGTTTCATTTTCATCAACCTGAAGTCTGCCATGAAGATACAGTTAAAAGTATATTATCAATAATTTTTGTTTTAAAGGAAAAAATACATTTTTAAGGTTTTCTTATATACCTAATAATATTTTATTCTTATGGTTCATGGCATGTGCTCCATACCTGCTGACCATAAATATAATTGGATGGTAGCCCAAGTAATAAAGAAAGAAAAAAGGAAGATGGTAAAGATGGCAGAATTCATTATTTCTGTATGCTATAGGGCCTGGTTCTTAAAGGGCCGACGGTGCCGTTTTTGGCGTTAGAAATACCTAACTTCCAGACATTGTGCAAACTCCAAAAATTTATATTTTTATACTTATGTCAAGTAAAAATGCTTTTGCAAAAAATTGCAATGATTGGAGCCTGGGAACAAAAAAACCGCATAACTTGTGCCCCCTGCCAGGGATGGACTAGCTCTTTGTGGCGGCCCTCTATAAAATTTTAAATTTTTAATATTTCTTGCGGCCCTCTATAAAATTTAAAAAAAAAAATCACATTATATATAAATAATGTGTTATTTAGTTCTTAGGTACCTCAATTAACAATAGGTTATTTTAATTTATAAGTTTATTTATTACCATATTAAAAGTACATAATTTAAAATCAAAATATTAACTCAACACACTTAATTATACTTTCAAAGAATTTATATTAGTGGTCCATTGTCAAGAGTTTATATTAGTAGCCCATTAGAATAGTGCCCCATTGTAAGTAAGATATCAGCGGCCCACCGGGGCTCGCCCCGGCATCCCGGTGGACAACCAGTTGATAAAATATTTTATGTACTATTCTTAACTAGACTTATATTCATCGATAAATATTAAGTTTCATAGTATAATCTCTTAGTGTTCAAAAATTGTGTCCATATAAAATTTGTAACCCCCTCAAGTTGAGGAGGGTTAAAACTTTATATTGTCATAATTTTTGAACGCTAAAATATTTTACTAAGAAATTTAAAAATTATCGATTAATATTAGTCTAGTTAAGAACAGTACAAAAAATATTTTATCAACTGGTTGCTCTCACGTTTGGGCCTGGGGGGCACAAATTTTAAGGCTTTTTTGTTCCCAGGCCCCAATCATCGCAATTTTTTGCAAAGCATCCTTATTTGACATAAGTGTAAATATATAAATGTTTGGAGTTTGCACAATGTCTGGAAGTTAGCTATTTCTAACGCCAAAAAACGGCACCGTCGGCCTTGTTTTAAAATCCTATATGATAGACTGCCTTTAAACCATCGTTTAAAATAAAGAAATACTACTCAAAACTAAAACCTGAGAATTTTATTTTTTTGGTACACCCTAGTGTTCGTTAACGTTTCTAAAATAACAAAAATTAAATCTTCGTACGGAATAATTACATAGAAGTAGTTTTAATTAAAGTTATTTAAGTAATCACCAAAATTAAATGTAAAAGTTTTCTTATTTGAGTATTTATTCTTATTGTATTAGAAAAAATGCTTTTTTATTTTACCAGAAAATACAATACTTATTTTTAACGTAAATGAAGATGTAATATAGACGTAGAAGTAAACAAGTCTCTTTTTTTTACTTCTTTACTTTGAATGAACTTAGTTTAAAAAGCTTGTTAAAACAATAAATAAATGTAAAGTGACTTTGCAATCAAATCAAAAGGCTCAATAAAGTTTAATAGAGTCTCAAAACATAATAAAAATGGCTTTAGACAGAAGAAGAAAAAAAAAGACATTTTATAAAATTGTTCTCGTTTTTAACTTTATTTAATACTTTTGTTTTGTTTTTATTTTAAGAGTGCATCGACCAATGCTCTATATATTGGTAATTATAATACTCGTGGGAATAATCAACTACCAATAAAATCTATTCAATCAACACAGTCATCAGATAGACAAAATTTAATCAAAAAGCAGAAAAAAGATGTTGCACTTGCAATCAAGTCTGGAAAGAATCCATACGATTTATACGGTTTACCGCCCTCCTTTGAAGAAGAAGAATGGTGTTAGTTACTTGTTAAAATGATATCTTTGCTTATTTAAATATAGGCATACGCTTGGCTAGATAAACTAACTAAAGAACAACATGCTTCGTTAACAATGCTAACGATACAAAGTGCATACTATTAAGTTACGTGCATGTCACAATAATATTATGCTGTTTAGCATATTACGAATTGTTTGTTTTTTTTATTATTTGTAAAAACAATTTTCTTGCTAATAGTTTTAATATTTCAATTGTTTAAACATTTAGTAAAAACATAATAAAAAAATAAAATGTTTAAAAGCATTTATAAATTTTATTTATTAAAAATATTTATATGACTTGTTATTTTTATTGTTTTTTATATGGCTACTTGAATTGCTCGATTTGATTTCAAATTATATGGCATAATTATGAAGCAACTCCAAATTATAATTTGAAAGCTTAAAGTTCTTTCCGTTCTTGAATCTCAAATTAATAAACGAAAAATTGCAAACCACTATTTGAAAATAATTTAAAATCACCTTCGAAAGAGTTAATAAAGTTTAATATGATGAAATATGATATAGTTTGAAAAATGAACTTAAAAAACTTTAAGTTCAATCTTAAGTCAAGTCTTAAGACAAGACTCATTTTAAGGCTCGTTTTTAGCTTTTTGTTATTATTTTTATTAGATTTCTTTATACTACCAAAATTTCGGAAATCGGAAATTGAAATCCTAGTATTGCCGTATAAGTAGACACAGTTTTCTCTTTAAAAAAATTGATTTGGAACGCAGAAAAATTATCTCCCTCTGTTAAATTGTTAAAAAAAAAAAAAAAAAAAACATACTCAAATAAGTCTCAAATAAAAAAATCAGTCTAATGAAATGCGGCAAATAGTATTTCAAATATTATAATTATTTACAAAAAAGATATATTTTTTCAATAAAATATATCCTTGTTAAACAAAACGACAAATAAATAAAACGAAAATAATAATAAGACGAAACAACAGCATATTTTTTACAACCTGATACACCGCTGCCCAATTTTTTACGGATTACCGAAAACTCACAAAGAAACCTATTGTTTCAGCATGTAATGGCCCTACGGACCATTTATTTAAGTTCATCACACACTTTATACAACCAGTGGCAGAATCTCTCCCCTCATATATCAAAGATGCTTCTCATTTTTTTCACATGCTTCAATCCCATCAATTATCCTCTTCTAACTATATTTTTGTTACAGCAGATGTCAGATGCCCGCCTTTAGCCTATATGAACATAATTTTAGAAACCATTCTTACATTTAGCGTTTTCCAATTTGCTAATAGGTTCTTCTAACAAATTGATGGTACATCAATGGGAACAAGAATGGCACCGCCATACAGGGTCGGACTATATATATATATATAGTCTTGGAAAAAGGTTTAAGACCACCACGCATAAATGCTATACTTTAGTGCCTAAAATAAAATGCTATAACTTGTTGCTATAACTTGGTGCTACTTTTGATTTTAGCCGCTGTGGACATTATTTTAATGCAATATTAATAATAATAATAATAATAATAATAATAATAATAATAATAATAATAATAATAATAATAATAAGCTGCGGTGAGAAAATATTAAAATAAGTATAAAACTTGTAACACAAAGTAAATGAGTTTTTTTTTAATCTCGCTTGAATTGGGGTAGCAGCCTTTTAGCTCCTTGTTGGTAGACAATGAGCTGTAGCAGCATTTCGGTAATAAATCGTAAAACTAGTGATAGATAGAGTGTTTGTCGATACAATTTTAAAATTCATTTAAGTTATGAGAGTCAATTGCAGTTTGTGTGAGTGAATTCCATTGGTTGACTAATCTGTTTGGAAAGAAATTAGGCCTAGTAGAGATAGCTCACAAGTTGTTGTTGAGGTCTGAAGCACTAAAGAACTCTTTGATGAAACGCTGAGAGTGTCCTCGAGTTATTTAGACAGATGGATTGCTAATTAGTGGTTTAAGCCAATAAACATTTTCTAAGTTATTATTAAATTTATAGTTGTAGACTAAATCACCTCGAATGTGTCTTCAAGAGACACCATATCCAGAAAGTTTGTGAAGCATAAGGTGCAAAAACTAAATATGTATTTCGAAGATGTCAACTGGGCTAATTGTTTTAGAAATTTAAATATTAATAAATGTTATGAAGCTTTCTAATCTATCTATATTAAGGGATGTAATTTTCAAATACTAGCAATTAAATTGTTTATTAAACCAGCAATTAAATTGTTTATTTATATATTTGCATTATTCTGTTTTACGCAAACCTTGGATCACAAAAGAATTAATCTCTACAATAAAAATTAAAAATAATTTTTGTTATAAAAGCAAAGACTAAAAGTGGCGTTTGGACACTACAAAATACAACATTAGCTGCAAAAAAGTTTAGTTTATCAAAGTTACCATTTTTAAAATCTTGTTGATACGAAGAAAACATATTTCTAGGAGGGTTTGAAGATTCAACAGCGAAATTCCAAGTTAGAATTAAATGAGCTTGTCCTTTTTTGGTGTTGCCAAGTTGAGAATGTCTTTCAAGAGAAAATACGCGTTGAGTAGACTCAGTTAAAATAAAATCTAGAGTACTAGATGAGCCTATTATAGAATTCAATTGAAAAGTATTAAAATTGGCATGCTGCGTTAAATGATTTAAATTAAATTTCTCAATAAATTCTTCAGCTAGCGGGTTTGTGGTGGTTGCAGTTTTGTTAAACTATGTGGTACGGTCAAGGTTAAAACCTCCTGTGATTAGAAGACCAGAGTACTGTTTTTTTTTCTACTAAATTTGATGCAAAATTTATAGAGGCTTTAACTTGGTTGTTTACAAGGTCGTTGCTGAAAGATGGACGGTTTATACAACTAACTAAAATTTTTTCAGTTTCAAGATTAACTGAACACCAAACTTGTTCAGAGTCAGTATTGTTAAGTTGAGGATGTGCTACTTCATGAGATTTAATTTTGCGATCGCGCCTATATGTAATATAATTAGTGAGATAAGAGATAGAGTTTTGATTAAACCATGTTTCTGTTATAAAGACAAGACTAGGTGGTGCTTTTGAAGTTTAAATAAGACTTTGCAGCTCCGCAAGTTTCTCTGAGTTTAACGAAGTCGCATTTGTATAAAAATAACTAAAGTTGTTAAGATGTTTTTTTGTGTTATTGTTATTATTGACAATCATTTTTATATTGTTATTCATTCTGTTGTTGACTGATTGTAATTTTGTTGTAATTCTGTTTTAACAAATCTAGGATCATATCTTTTTAAAGATTAAAGTTGTAATTCTGTTTTAACAAATTTAGGATCATATCTTTTTTCCGAGAGTTGAGTCCCAAACTCCATCAAGGCGTGTGACTCTACCACAACGGATAGCAAAACGAAAGGGTTGATCTTTTTGCTGACTTTCAAGTTTTTCTCTGTTGAGTCTGTTACATTCTATACGTAGTAGTTTTGATTGCCTCTGTTGAGCAGGAGTTTCATCTGGATTGATGTAGATTCTATTTCAAGCATTGTTAAACCTAAGTTTATGGGCAACTTTGAAAATTGCTTTTCTTACTTCTACGTTATTAAAAACTATTTGAAATAGACTTGTTTGTGTTGCAGTGCTTTTGTCACCTCTAAAGCGTCTAACAGCGACATGTTTATATTCAACAATTAGTTCGTTTAAGAGTGATGCTACCAGCGCTTTGTCATGTTCAATACGGTCAGCAGAGACTAGAGAAGACAATGTGTCAGTGCCAAAAATAGTAATATTTTTTGTTTTTTTTTTCCTAAATCCACCATTGAGTTCATATTCTAAATACTTGCCAACTAAATTCGATGTGCAATTAACATAATACATAGTACAACAAGCATAAATAGTAACATGATTTACAACAACAAAATATTATCAATATTACCAACCTGTGACGTTTCTGTCAGTGAGCAATACCTAAAAAACAACTATTTAAAAGCTATATAAAATTATATCATAAAATAAACAGTTTAACATTTGTTAACTAATTTGGTTTGTTTACGTTAATGTAATACTACTTTCGGTCAGCTAAAGAAGGCCGCTACAATTTATATAAATAGCCGGCAGATCTATTAGTTTGTAATTAGATGTAACTAGAGACCAGAATAAAAGGTATTATGTTTTTAGTTAAGTTTTAATTTACTGTTGATTAAAATAATGGTAGTTGATTATAATAATGTTGATTATAATAATGGTAGATTATAATAATAAAGGGAAATAAAACGTAGCCTAACTAAAAATATGATTCTTTTGAGGCAACCGGCCCACCGGGAATCATCCGGTATCCCGGCGGCCCAATCTAAGCCTGCTGCCATATGCTAACTTGTTTATGAGATATCAATAACATTGTTGTGAAGCATTGGCATATTCTTAGAGATGACCCCTATTTAGCAGAAATATTTCCATTGATACCCACACCTATCTACTTCAATACAGCATCGATTAAAGATATTTTAAGACATTTGGCCCATGTATAAAGTGTACATACAAAGTTTAAACCATTTTTTGTATATTTTAGTTATTTTGATGTTTGAATATATTACTAGTCTGTTTATTTTTAATACGTCATTATCATTATCACGTCTATCAGCTACTGCTATAGCAACGTTAACAACAATATTAATAGAGATGTAGTGATTTAGTGACGTCAAACAAATGTAAAATACTTGCAATACTATTTGCTAAAAACATGCTCCTGGAAAATTAATTGTTAAACAGTCAGAGCCTAAAAAATGGTCTAAACGTAAATAAATGTATAAAAAGCAGTAAAATAGATATGGCTGTATGACAAACGCAAAGATAATGATGTATTAAAAATAGCACTGCTATAGCAGTAGCTGAAACTGTAAAAAAAAATTCCTATCAAGAAAAATAAGATCTAAATTGAAGACATATATGTCTTCCATCTAGATCTTATTTTTCTTAATAGGAGTTTTATTTTCAGTTTCACGTCTATCAGCTACTGCTATAGCAGCGCTATTTTTAATACGTCATTATCTTTGCGTTTGTGATTCAGCCATATCTATTTTACTGTTTTTTATATATTTATTTACGTTTAGATCATTACAATCATCGCAATCTTTTCATAGAGCCCCTGTATACACTTTCCATAGAATGTAGGTATTAAACTAAAAACCCTAATGGGCATAAAACTGCTGCGCTGATCAGTAAATCAAATAGATAAAATATAAAATAAAATATAAAAAAATTAAAATATAA